CACACACACACACACACACAAGCCAAGCTCCCCTTCTCTGCTTGACTCCACCCTCTCCTCAACTCAGTCACAGTCCAGATGTGTAAACCTAGCCCAAACCTCTTCTTGCCCTTGGCCAGGACTGACTTAGTCCTTGGCTCTGTACAATCCACTTGGGCTTCTCTGCTGGTCCTGCGTCCTCTGTGACTCTACCTGCTTCAGCCTGAGCCCTCATCTCTAGCCCAGGTCCCATCTACTCACTGGTCACTTAGGGAAGCCTATTAGACTCCAGCTTTTTACCTTCTTTCTTCTAGTCTGTAGGCCTCAAAGCACTCTCCCTGCTGCTGATGCTTTGCCTTGACATCTCTTTCTCCATCTTGTGGCCCCAGGAGGAGGATAGTTTCCCCTCTGGATCCTGCAGATCTGTGACTGCAGCTGTCCTTCACTGACCCTGAAGCCACATCCTAGGACGACATTCCAGCTTCAGGGACTAGGACCTTTCCAGAACAATGGTTCCTCAGGCTCTCCCCGCCTTGCCTTGCCCTTTCCTAACCCTAATAGGAATTATTGTCATCAAATCAGCCTTCCTCACCCCTAATTCTCTGTGAGCACCAGCCTCGTTCTGAAATGCACTTGTGGTTGGGGCCATAAGCATTTGTGAGGTCCTTGGCAAGAATATAAATGGAAGCCCACATCCTAATGTCTAAACATTTAAAAGTTATAAATTAAGCTAACACATTGTTAAATAAAATGCATTCCATCTTACTGCCTTGACAAGTATGCCTTTGTAATGACAAAATAGAAAAATATGTGTAAAGCTGTGGTTTTCAGGGCTAAAAATCAGCAAATTATCAAAGGTGACTGAATTTGATTCTGCACATTAGGTTTAAACATTGTATTTGGGTCACGTATGATAAATTATTATCAGAGAAAAGATGAAATGTTTTAATTTCATCACACAACTCATTATCATCCATAATGTGAATTTTTACCATTTCTTAAGTCATATTTATATTTGTAAAAAATCTCAAAAACTTTTTTCAAAAATTTCATGATGAGCTATTACATAAAAAAACAGCAAATGAGGGCTGGAGTTGTAGTTCAGTGGTAGAGCGCTTGCCTAGCATGTGAGGCACTGGGTTTGATTCTCAGTACACATATAAATAAATTAAATAAAGATCAATCAATAACTAAAAAAAATTAAAAAACAGCAAATGACAATTGGTTGCTAAATTTGTTCATATCCCTCTTCAATCAAGATTGTACCTCAATCTGTATCAGCCAACAGTATCTGTAGAAATTAGTTTGGAGCTGTGCATGGTGGTCCATGCCTGTAATCCCAGTGGCTAGGGAGGCTGAGGCAGGAGGATTGCAAATTCCAGCCAGCCTCAGAAGCTTAGTGAAGCCCTACACAACTTACTAAGACCCTGTGTCAAAATAAAAAATAAAAAGGGCTGGAGACATGCTTCAGTGGTTAAGTGCCCCTGGGCTCAATTCCTGGTGCCAAAGAAAGAAAGAAAATTGGTTTGGAGATTATTTGTGAATTTTATTCATTGTAATGCAAACATTTTCCTTTAGTTCTAATTGCCTTATATTTTATTTAAATCACACATTGGGCTGGGCATGGTGGCGCATGCCTATAATCCTAACAATTTGGCAGGCTGAGACAAGAGGATCACAATGTCAAGGCCAGCCTGGTGAGACCCTGGGATTGTGGCTCAGTGGTAGAGTGCTTGACTTGCTTGTGGCTTTATGGCACCTCAGCACCATAAAAAAATAAATGAATAAAATAAAGGTATTGTATCCATGTATGTATGTGTGAGTGTGTGTGTGTGTGTGTGTGTGTGTGTGTGTGTGTGTGTGTATACGCTAAGGATGTAGGTAGGTGATAGAGTGCCTCTAAACTCAATTCTCAATGCTGAAAAGTAAAATCAATCAATCTCACTTTGGTTACCTATTTCACACACAGGTTTTGTTTTTTTTTAAAAAAAAAAACTCTGATGAACCATTTCCTAATATTTGTAATAAATATTTTTTTAAAAATCTTTTAAGAAATATTTTAATTTAAAAAATGAAATAGTAAAGCTTAGCTGTTTTATAAGCTTTTATTAACATTTTCAGTAGCATGCAATAGGGCAAATCAAGTAACAGTAATACATAGTCAAAAGTGGTGTTTTTCCATCAAAGACTACGATTTGTTCCTTATTTGAAAATTTTAGTTGTTTCATTTAATTTTTCTAGCACATCTCATATCTATCTTAAATAAATTCAATTTAATTGATTTAATGGCATTTAGTTGAGATTGCCATAATATGTTTGAGAGAGCTTCTGAGGCCAAATTTGATGTGTTTCATCAAGATGTTCCATCTTTGGTCATATCCAGAAAATGTTATTTATGTATAATATTTGAATTACTCAAAACCCCATCATTGCCATTAACACGGTTAATACCATGTCTTTATTTCCAAAAACTACTCATGAGATTTTTGGCCAAAATTTTGGCCTTGTTGCCTTTCTTTGTCACATTAGCACTATGACTGTAGAGCCATCCTTGGCAATCTTTTAAATCACTGTTGAAAATCAAAGCTGTTTTTCTCCCCTAAGTCTTAGCTTAAGTCAAACTTGTACTTTGGGATTCTCATTTGCACAGGATGTAGCAATAGTACTTCACTCTGTTTGCAAGAACTAGAAAAAGTCAAATAAACCACAAAAGTCACGTTTTAAAGTTACTGAACAGCTGTGGGAGGACCAAAAGAAAGCTGATGTTGCCTGGATGTTTTCTTCCCTGGAAACATTTGCATCTGCATTCTGTATATGACCTGAGTATTGAGCCTGATCCATACAGAGGGAAAGAAACCAGTAAGTCTTTTGTAGTTAAATGGGCCTGCTGTGAAAAAAAAAAAAATCAAGGTTTCTAAAACCAGCTAATTTTAACTATAGGGCATTTTCTGAATCCTGAGACTGGATGTGGAAGTCTGGGAAGCTGGGCTAAGGGCTTCTAAAGGCAGTGTGAGATCTTCTATAATCTTGAGATGCTTAGGACACAAAGGTCACCTAGTGGAGGAAGGCCTGATACAAAAACACAGCTGTCATCCTCAAAATGTTTGCCAGTCTGAAGCTGTAGGGGTGAAGAAGTAGAGAAAAGGGATAAAGTGTTGAGCCTGGAACATCCAAAGAGCAGGACTGAATCTTTTGCAGATCTTACAAAGTTGGGGAGACAGAGATCAATTAGACTCTCAGTCAAAAGCCCAAGAGGGCCTAGCCTGAAAACAGAAATGAATTGGAGATGAGCTGAATAATACTAGAACTGCAACCCCGTTCTTTTTCAGTTAATTGCTGATTAGGTTGAGGTAATTAATCAGTTCCTCATCCTATCTGCCTCGAAAAGGAAAGGTGGAACTTTTCTCTGGTGGGAGATACCATATATAGCCTCTAGGTCTTTTATGTGCAAGTGTCAATGGGTGTTTTTTTTACTGCCTCTAAAATCCTTTTAATAAATGTCAGGGGTCAATATCTGGTATGCAATAAAAGTTCCTAGGTATATTAAGAGGCAAAAAAATGTGATTGATAATCAAGAGAACAGATAGACAATAGAAACAGACCCACAAATGACCCAGCTATTGGAGTAACAAGATAAGGATTTTAAGTTTCTATACTTAATTATAATGATTAAAGAAAATATTAAGACATATATACAAATGTATCAAAATGGATAATTTCAACAGAGAATTAGAATCATAAAAAGAATCAAATGATTTGAGAACTATAGAAAAGGTAACATTGATAGGATATGGGATTCTTTCACAATAAAAATAAATGCCAATAAGCATAGTTTACTTTTGTAACATTTCAATTAGTCCAAAAACCTATATAATAAGTACAACAAATTAATTGATCTCTTGTTGAGTGCAAATCTATCAATTAATAATCAAAATTAATTTATGCCACATGGTAAATTTTCACCAGAAATGTCTGTGAAGAAGGAATAGCTGGAATTTCCACACCGATAGAAACAAAGTAAGAAAAACCTGCTACCAAATATCTTATTAGCCTCTGGTACTCAGGAGGCTGAGTGGCGAAATGACCTCTTCAGCTGCAGGCTGCCAGGACTCTGTTCTGCCGTGTTAGAGAAAATCAGAGATGGAGTAGGTTACCCTTGAAAATGCAGTTTCATAGGGACAAGCATAGTAACAAACAGTGTTTGTAAAAATGCTAGCTGAGAAAAAAAAATTATATATCAATAAGGTTTTAAAGAAAATGCAAATTCAACTAGAGTCCATTTAGTTCAAATTATTTTTCTTAGATTGTCAAATTTGCCTTGAAAATTAAGGCAGGACAAAAGTTTAGAAAAAAAAGATGAGAAAATATATAGGAGCTGGTGTTAGAGAGACCAGGATAAACTTCTAGCTCTATCGTTTTTCCATACAGACCCTTAGCAAAGTATTGCCAATCTACATGCCCAGTAGATTGGCAATACTTTGCTAAGTATTGTTTTTTGTTTTTTGTTTTTGTTTTTTGTTTGTTTGTTTGTTTCCCAGATGTAAAGGAGAAGATGGTCTCCACAAGGCAATTCATTTAGTGCCTGGACATATCAGACTGTCAAGGAGTGGTGGTGATCGTCCTTACAACTCTGTGGGGACTAATATTTGAAGATAAAATGTTCGTTATTTTGAAGATTTTCTTTTTAATTGGGCTTTCTTTGAGCAGATTTGTTTCTGTAGTGCTGTAGGATAAAATGCAATATGATGGGATATAAAATATGGCAACTAAGCACTGGTCACATGCCCAGGACAGACACTGAAATTATACATCGACTCATGAATATTGAAATGAAAATCTGGCTATGTAAAATGTATTTACATTTATGTATTTTTTTCACGAGCAAAACAGAAAAGATGGAAAGTAACAATAAGCAGAAACTAATTAGCAGCGCAATGTCAGAAGTGGAGACGTTTGAGATTCTGTGCTATAATTTATCTTCTGCACTGTGAATTTTAACTAAAACAAGAGGCTGTGCTGAAAACAACATCTCCCTCTGGTCAATTCAGGGGAATGGTCATTCTGAAAAGGCTGCTGCTGTTATCACAAGATGGGATAAGCTTAACCAATCAGGATCAGCTGTTTATGTCCCCTCCTAAAAGAAGTGCTCATAGAAGATATCTATGGCAAATGGAACAGAGGATGTTGTTTAAAGAAGGGTTCCTTCTAATGCTACCTCCTGGCAATGACTGTGATTGGCAGTGACTGGTCAGAGTTGGAACTTGCAAATTGAGTTTATAGCCCATTTTTGTCTAAAATCCCCAGGTGTCAATCACTATTTGCCAAAACAAACAAGCAGAAATAAAGTTGAGTTTCTTTTATTTTATTTAAAAAACAATCAAATGAACATTCTAGGACTGAAACAACACAATATCTGAAATTAGAAATACATTACACGGGTTTAACAGCAGACTAGACATAGATTACAAAATCATTAGAAAACATCCAAACAGAATACAAAGGGAATAACGAACAAGTTTTAAAAATAGAGCATAAAATTCAAATGAAATCAATCAAAATATCTACATGATTTTAATTGTAATACCAGAAGAAAAGAGTAAGAAAATGGAATGAAGGTCATAATTAAAGAAATAAGGGGGCTAGGATTGTGGCTCATGCTTGTCTTGCATGTGTGAGGCACTGGGTTCAATCCTCAGCACCACATAAAAATAAATAAACAAAATAAAAGTATTTGTTCATCTATGACTAAGAGCCAAGAATTTTTCAAAACTAATGAAAGGCATTGATCCACAGAGTCAAGAGCTCTCATGAAACCCTTCTAGGATAAAACAAAATAGAGTAACAAACCAAACCAACCAACCAAAAATCTCATAGGAATATCATAAACAATTAAAATCCAAAACTATTAGGAAATCTTAAAATCATCTAGAAGATGATTTTACAGTCAAAGAAACAATAATAAGATTGGTAAATACTTTGTGAAAACTATAAGACAATGGAATTACATATCTGAAGTGCTGAGAGGGAAAAACAAATAAACTTGGCAATGCAGAAAAAATAATAAAAATAAATGTGAAATAAAAATTTCTTCAAAAATAAAAATAAAATTAAAAAATAGGAGCTGGAGTTAGAGAGATCAGGGATAAACTCCTAGTTCTATTATATTTCCACCCTTAGAAAAGTATTGCCCCTCTACATGCCCAAAATAAAAATAGAAATAAAAAATAAATGTGAAAGAAAAAATTTATTCAGAACAGCTGACAGTCATCACTAGTAGATCTGCAATATAATAAAAACTAACTTAAGGGGCTGGGGATGTGGCTCAAGCGGTAGCGCGCTCGCCTGGCATGCGTGTGGCCCGGGTTCAATTCTCAGCACCACATACAAACAAAGATGTTGTGTCCCCTGAAAACTGAAAAAGGAAAAAAAAAATAATAACTTAAGGTAGACTGTAGTAAATCAAGAATGTATATTGTAATTTCTAGCATAAACAGAAAGAAGTATAAAAGAACCTATCAAAGTTAGTAGAAGTGAAGAAATTAAGAACACCTGATTAATTCAAACATAAGCAAGAAAGAGACATAAAAGACAAACAAAAGATAAAACAAATATCAAAATGGTAGATTTAAGCCAAACTGTAACAGTAATAACATTAAGAGTAAGAGAATTGGGGGCTGGGATTGTGGCTCAGCAGTAGATTGCTCACCTAGCATGTGTGAGGCCCTGGGTTTGATCCTTAGCACCACATAAAAACAAATAAATAAAATAAAATAAAATATATTGAGCCCAACTGCAACTAAGAAATAAATATTTTTTAAAAATAAACAAGTAAACAAATAAATAAAATAAAGCTATTGTGTCCATGTACAACTAAAAAATAAATATTAAAAAAAGAGTAAGTGAATGGAACAAATTAAGAGACAACACTGGTATAGTTAGATAAAAACCAAAATCAATGATTTGTTTCTTATGAGATAGATGTATTTTATATAAAATGATGAAGAAAGGTTGAAAATAAAAACATGGAAAAGATATACTATGTAAATACTGAAAGAAAACTGGTGCAGCTATATTAATATTAGACAAAGTAGACTTTGAATCAAGAAGTATTAGAGAGACATTGCTGAATGATTAAACAGTCAGTTCAAAAGGTATATATGGGTAGTAAGGTGGCACATGCCTGTAATCCCAGTGACTTGGGAGGCTGAGGCTGGAAGACTTTGAGTTTAAAGCCAGCCTAGCAATGTACTGAGACCCTGTCTTAAAATAAAAAGAGCTTGGTATGTAGCTCAGTGGGATTGAAATAAATAAACAAATAAAATAAAAAATAAGTAAACAAATGAGGATAGCTCAGTGGTAGAGTGCTCTTGGATTCAATCCTCAGAACTGGGGGAAAAATGACATACATAACAAACCTAAAGTAATAAGCAATATTAAGGTTTAGATATGAGGTGTCCCCCTAAAGCTCATGTATAAGTGCAAAAAAGTTTAGAAGTGAAATGATCAGGTAATGAAAGCCTTGACCTAATCATAATCAGTACATTAATCTACTTGAATGGATTAGCTGGGTGGTAACTGTAGACAGGTGGGGTGTGGCTGGAAGAGGAGGGTACCTGGGAGCATGACTTTGGGGCTTGTATTTTGTTCCTGGTAAGTGAATCTCTGTTTCCTGTTGCCCTGTCCTGAGCTGCTTTCCTTCTCCACACCCTTCTGCCATGATGTTCTGCCTCACCTTGGGCACAGAGCAATGGAATTGGCTGTCTATGGACTGAAACCATGAACCCCAAAGAAACTTTTCCTCTTCTACGTTGTTTAGTTAGGTCTTTTTGTCACAGTGGCAGAAAAGGTTGACAAGGCAGAAAGGCTGACTTACACATGCAGCTAAGAATACATTGTAAAAATACATTTAAAAAAAAAAAGAGTTGGGCTGGGGATGTGGCTCAAGCGGTAGCGCGCTCTCCTGGCATGCGTGCGGCCTGGGTTGGATCCTCAGCACCACATACAAACAAAGATGTTGTGTCTGCCGAAAACTAAAAAAAATAAATATTAAAAAAAATTCTCTCTCTCTCTTTAAAAAAAAAAAAAAAGAGTTAACAGTACTTAAAGTGGGAATAGACAAAGCAAATCCACAGCCAGACTGGAGATTTAGCGAATTTCTCACAGAAACAGAACACACAGATAAAACTGTGAGTATAAAATATTTTAACAATATGTTTAATCAATTGGATCTAACTGACATTTATCCTACATTATGAACAACAGCACTCTTATGAAGTATACAGAACATTCACCACATAATATGCTATGAAACAAATCTTAGCAACTTTCAAAACTTGGGTTGGGGGTGTAGCTGGGGTGGGTAGCTCAGTAGTAGAACTCTAAACTAGCATGAGGAGGCCATGGGTCCAATCTTCAACAGAGAATCAAGCCCGATTCTCTGACCACGGGGAATTATTATGTCAAAATCAATAATAGAAAGATAGCCAGACCTAGTGGCTCACGCCTGTAATCCCAGCAACTTGGGAGGCTAAGGCAGGAGGATCATGAGTTCAAAGCCAGCCTCACCAAAAGCAAGGCACTAAGCAACTTGGTGAGACCCTGCCTCTGAATAAAATACAAAATAGATCTGAGATTTGGCTCCGTGGTTGAGTGCTCTTGAATTCAATCCCTGGTACCCACCCCCAAAATAGAAAGATAAATAGAAAAATCCTCCAAATATTTGTATTTTAAGCAATTTGCTAAAACCATCTATTGGCCAAAGGAGGAATCACAAAATAAATTATAATTTTTGAACATCAATTATATCTCATGATATCTTACTAGACAGGTAAAGTAATGCTTAGAGAATTTTATATTTAAATAAGTATATCAGAAAATAAAGTTTAAAAACAAGTGATGTAAACTTCAATCCCAAGAAGCTATAAAAGGAACAAATTAAACCTAAGAAAAGCAAAGGAAAAGAAACAGTAAAGAATAAGAGCAAAAATCAATGAAATTGAAAGCAAGTATAAAGTGATAAAATCAACAAAATCTAAAGTTGGGTCTTTGAAAAAAATAATAAAATTGATAAATGACTAGCAAAATTGATGAATATAAATAAGGGTAAGAAACTAAATTATCAATATAAGTAACAAAAGAAAGGATTTTTTAAGTGAGAAAATTAATACAGCAAATATTTTGAAGATAATATATCTGAAAATAGGCAAATAATCTGAAAGATAAAATTTACCAATTCATATATTTATGTAGTTATTATTACTTATATATTAATATATAATTATTTATTATTTATGTTATATATTTATATTATTTATATATTAATGCATATTTATTGTTATTATATTTTTAATATATATTTTGTCATGACATGATTCCATAATGAAAACCTTACCATATAGTTCCAAGCCTAGATGGGTTCACTGGAGAAAATCTTTAAAACCTAAGAAAACAGTAATAACTAATAACCAAACACTCTTCCCAGGGATAGAAAAAGAGTTATCACTTCCTAATTTCTTTTATGAGTACAGCATAACAATGATAACAATGATACCTGAGAACATTACAAGAAAGGAAAATTATAGGCTAATGTCTCTCATGAATATAGCTACAAAAAACCCTAAATAGGATTATGACAGATTGATTTGTATGATATATAAAAAGGATACTACATCACAAATAAGGATTGATGACTACAGTTCAAGTTGTGGTTTAACATTTAAAAATTAGTCAATATATTTTGCCACATTTGCATAATTAAGAAAAACTAATATACAGAAAAAGCATTTAATAATGTTCAACACTAATTCATGACAAAATGTCTAAGCATGTGAGGAATAAGAGGGGATTCCTCATTTTGATAAAATACTATTTTCTCCAAAATTCTAAGCTAATATCATTCTTTTTTTTTAACATTTTAGTTGTAGTTGGACACAATACCTTTATTTTTATTTTTATGTGGTGCTGAAGATCGAACCCAGCATCCTGCATGTGCTAGGCGAGTGCTCTATCGCTAAGCCAAAACCCTAGCCCCTAATATTATTCTTAATTATGAAATTTGAATCCTTTACTCCTGAGATCAGATCCAGATATCAGCTATCTCTATGTCATTGGCATTTTACTGGAGTTTCTAGCCAGTGCATTGAGAAAGAAAAGGAAATAAAATTTTGAAAGATTGGAAAGGAAGAAATAAAACTGTCAATATTTGTAGCTAGATGATCATATGCAAATCCAAAGAACTGACGAACAATTAGTATTCAAGAATGAATTTACCAGGATCATGGGATAGAAGATCAATATGCAAAAACACTAATGTATCTAAATAATAACAGCAAACAATTGGAAAAGAAAATAAAATTAGTTT